TTGTTTTAGCCCACTTATTATTTTGTCTATTGTGTGGGGGGTGTGGATTTCTTCGGTGTTCGACAGATTTAAGGGTGTGAGGTTCAAATCTGCTCTTGTGATGGTGCGAAACATTTCATTTCTTTCCGCTCGTTTCAAGAAATACTTCTTCAAATCTGAGATTTGTCTCTGATATAAGTTTTCTAGGTTCTGGAAACCCCTTCCTCCATTCTGTCTTGGTAATGAGAATCTTTCAATCGACGATTTTGGATGATGTCTTCTATACCTACTGTGTGAAGATTTTCCTTGTTGCGATGTTTAAATTTTCAAGATCAGTTTTGGACCATTTAATGACTCCAAAAGAATATGTTAGCAGTGGAACGCAGAATGTATTTACTGCTTTCATTAATTTTTTTCCATTTAACTGTGTCTTCAATATTAATTTTAATCTCGCTAGGTATTGATCTTTCAACTGTGTTTTCGTTTTGGTATGATTGATGTGGGAGGATTGACCGAAACCCAGATATTTGTATGTATCGTTTCGTTCTTGGGCTTCGATTATTTCGTTATTCTGGGTTATATGTGGTACTTGGTGTTGGACGCCTTTTTTGATTGCTTGGGTCTTACATTTCTCAATACCAAAAGACATACCAATATCACCGGAAAATTGTTCAGTCAGATTTAATAGGTTTGTTAACTGATTTTGTGTACTTGCATATATTTTTATGTCATCCATATACAGCAAGTGACTTATTCTGTTTTCCCTTTGTTTGTTAATTCTTATATTGAACCCATAATTGCAGCTGTTCAGGATATCGGAGAGGGGATTTATTGCTAAGCAGAACCATAACGGGCTAAGAGAATCGCCTTGAAAAATTCCTCTTCGGATCATTATTGGATCTGACTGAATTGTTTGTTCATTTAAGGTTATTTGGAAGGTGGTCTTCCAAAATTCCATGGAACATTTGAGAAAAGTGCAGATTTTAGTATCAATTTTGTATAATTCCACAATTTTGCATAGCCAGGAATGAGGGACAGAATCGTAAGCTTTCTTATAATCAATAAAAGCAGTATATATGTTTCGGTTTTCTTTTCTAGCTTGTTCACAGATGATGGAATCTATGATTAATTGCTCTTTGCAACCAAATGATCCTTTAATACATCCTTTCTGTTCTTCATTAATGATGTCAGAGTTAAAACAGTGTTGATAGATTTTTTGTGTAATGCATGAGGTTAATATTTTATAGATTGCCGGTAAACATGTGATAGGTCTGTATTTTGATGGATTTTTTGTGTCGTTATCTTTAGGTTTTAGGTATGTTACACCATGACATAAGAATGTTGGAAAGGAGGATGGGTCAAGAAGGAACTGATTTAATTGATGTAGTAAATGAATATGTACACAATTTAATTTTTTTATCCAAAAATTATGGATTTTGTCTGGTCTTGGTGATTTCCAGTTGTGTGTCTTATTGATGGTATTTATTAATTCGGCAAGTGTTATCTGATGATCATTCATTGGTGTAACTGTGGATAGTTTATGGGATATATTAGGAATCCATTTGGCAGATTGGTTAAATTCAAATTCTTGAGACCAAAGTTTTGACCAAAATGTTGTTACATCTTGTGAGCTTGGAAGTTCACCGGATAATTGAGTTTTGCTTGAATTAGTTAAATGTTGATAGAATAGTTTTTCGTTGTTATAAAATTGAGTGTTATGATTTTTTCTGAGATGTGATTGTTTGTATCTTTTAAGTCGTTTGCTATATAAGGAAAGTTTTTGTAATAGGGTATCTTTAATTTGGAATAGTGTTGTGTTGTACTCATCGTAATCAGTTTGATGAAAATTATTTTTGGTCAATTATTTATTATTATTATAAATATGTTTATTAGTTTTATTAATTAACAAAGCAAAATATATATTAACAATAATATTACAATGAATTTTTAGTAATCATATGTATTGAATTCAGGATCCTAAGTGGAGTAAAAATACTATAGTTTCCCAGTTTTAATTCGGTTTTATGATAGTACCTCATTGCGTAAAAGTTAATTTCCTTAACAATAGATTCCTACGGCCGGTCCTAGCGGCTTGTTATAAAACTGAGTTCCTTGCCATAAATTAGAAAAATCCACCGAGAACTCTAACAATCAGCTTATGGTAGAGCAGGCGATAAGGGTTTTACCTGGAAAGTCGCTTCCGTAAATTTTAGTGGCGCTCCTATCGCCATAGTACTGCACTAACTGCTCAAATTCTGTCGAATTGATACCCATTTTTTTCAATAATTGTTAGTTTTTGTTAAAAACTCTGCTAACCAATAGATCATTAATTTTCCTCTGATATTCCCCCAGTAACATTTTATATGTAATCAATATTGAAGTTCTAACATTTAAATAATATGGGTAACGACAGATTTTTTTTTAAAAAATCAATATTGGTTTTAAATATTGAATATATATTTATTTTCAATGTTTAATACTTATTTAGTTCAGAACATTTAATAAATGTTCTTCATATGAAAGGGGGTATGGATATAAAAAAAACTTGTATGGAATACAATATAAAATTTATTAAACACAAAAATATATTGTCACTGGAAATAACAGTGTATTTGAAACGTTGCGGCAATATTTATACATTTAAAAATTATTTGTCCTAGAACCAATTCGTTGAAAATTTGTACCGGGTGATTGTTTTTTAATTTTTGCTGTAGTTACCCATGACACTTATGTCAGCAGTGAAACTGAAACTGCTGGCATAAGCTTCATGGGCAACCAGAGCATAAATTTAAAAAATCACCTGATGTGAAACACAATATAAATTTTTTAAACATAAAAATACACTGCCAACTTACAATGAAATAAAAATACATTGTCAATGGAAATAACAATGTTCTGCTACATTTCAATCGTTATACAGAAATATTTATTTAATAATTATTTGCTCTATAACCAATTCATTGAAAAGCGATATAATTAATTAAAATAAAAAAAATCATACCTCATGTTTTTTTCGATGAGAATTCATTCTTGCTTTTGTCTGCGCTTAATGAGGTCCTACCATTTTTTAAATTTCAGCAGTTGTGGCGTTTTTGTGACGTTTCCGTGTGGTACCTACAATTAAATTAACTTACAAATTTCGTAATTTTTAAGAAATCACATAACTTTACATATTGTAGCCTTGTTAATTGTGAGTTCACTAAAAGAGAGCTTATTTTTTCCTTGCCCTGAAAACTTGAAAGCAATTTGGTTCATTATTAATAATTTCTTCAAAATTGCATAGGTACATGTTTTTTACATCTTCTCTTCCTGGCAAATAAACATTATTATCAGTCTGAAACTAACTAGTTTATAAATACTAGGAGTTAATAATAAGAATAATAAATGCTTACCAATTCATTCAATTTCTGCGTATCTCCCGCAATTTCTAACTGGATTTCTTCTTTTTTTTGGTTGCGCCCGGACATTCATCATTTTATCTCTACATTCATAATGTGCTTATATTCAGAAATATTAAACCTCTTAAATATACTTACGTGTTGAGAAACTGCATTTTCTGCATTGCTTGCAGAAGTGAGGTTATGTAGGGTTAGTACTGTTTTCTTGACAAAACGGTATTTATTGCACTATTCTGAATTTATCGCAGTACCGATAATCACAATTCACAATAGGACAAACACCATGAACTTACACAAAATACTTTTTGAACCACCAACAATAACAGAAAATATGTATATGTTGCACATTGCGCAAACGCGTTCCAGCAGAGCAAGCGCAAATTTAAGTAAGTTTTATAAAAATGATGAATAAAATTATTATTTTTTGTTCGCAAAAATAAAAAAATATTAATTTTTAATGAGCAATTAATAGTGTGCAACACGATATTTCGAATAGTGTCAATTTCACAATAGCTGGTATTTTTTCAAATCAATTTTTAATATTGCTCCGATAAAAACCCTATGACATAAATTACCTGCAAGTTGTCCCAACATGGTACTTTTTTTTCATTTTTGTTGTTCGGTATCTTGATAAAAAGACATTTCATAAATATGTAATATATGTTGAAATTCATATATAAATTTATAAATATAAAATGAATATTATATAAATATTTGTAATATCTAGTCAACATTTAATATTATATCAATCTTGTATAAATATTAGAAAAATATTGCTTGCTACTGGGGTCCTGTTAAAATTATTCGACGTATTTTGCATTAATTTGTGGTATATTTTGATTTTAATAAACACATTATTATTTAAACAAATTGTACCACTAACAAACATTTAATGACTCTGTGCCCTTTAAAAAGTGATGTTTTATCCGTGTGCGAATTTTCAAGCGATTCTATGATGGTTATGACTCAAAAAACTTGAAAAGGAAACATACAATGGTGCTTTTTTTACGATATTTCTCAGCCATATTTTTTTAGTTGATTGAACTGGTCTCTGCGCTCTAGAATATGAAAAAAGCTGCAGTTTGATGTGTGATACATCTATATTAATATCATTTTTTCATACAAAAAACCAAAAAAATGTTATACCTCGTCTAGCAAGTCCCCTTAATCGAAGCAACCAGTGGGAGGAAAGAGATATGTACTTTCCGGACAGGAGCCTAGACAACCAGTGGAATATGCTGTACTGATGAGACCATAAGGAGGTCGAAACTGCAGTCTTCAACTTTTTACTGTTTCACTCCTAAACGTGAAACGTCTTGTGTTGCTCCGTGGATCATTTAGTTATTGGAATTTGTGCAAATGAAATTGTGTGTCTCTTTGGTTGCCTATATTGAGCGCAACGACCATTTTTTTTTCTGACACAAGGAGACATTTGCAATTGTGAAATTAGTGAAACGATAGTAGCATAATAAGCTAGGGTTTACATTTCGTTCCATTATTATAATTTCAGTTAGTAAAAAAACTACATCTCATAAATGTTACACGATTTACAAGAGATCGCTCATTTTTGATTAACTTGTTCCATCCTTTCTGAACTGACTGTACAGATCAAGATCAAGGTAAAGGCTGAACGTGACAAATGACTAATACTTGAAATGACAGATAAACATTAGTCGACGTAAATCTTGTAGGAAACTTGCCTGTGACTCCCCGTGCTGTGATAAATTAAGTGAACAATGGCTTGGACTAATTACCAAATTTTTCTAGCTCTTGTTATGGTTATAACAGGCAGCATCAACACTTTGAGCACAAAGTACGTATAGGTTATGTATTGCGGTTTGTTTTTTTAAATAAAACCCTCTGATAGGTGGGCGGATGGAATTCAATCAAAAGGAAAAAATGATGATCTCCACGTTTTTGATCACCCGTTTTTCCAGGCCTCTTGTATGTTCATCGGGGAAATGCTTTGCCTATTTACTTTCAAAATACTCTACAAAATTTACAGCCTGAGAGCCGTAAGTCACACTCACATTTCTTTCCATTGAATAAAACACCTACTTTATTCATACTAGGATGGCTCAGAAGACGTCAAAGAACTAACTCGAGGTAACCGGCATTTCAGTCCATTTGTCCTTTTTCTCCCCGCCATGTGTGACATGACGGCCACCTCAATCATGTACATCGGCCTCAACTTAACTTACGCTTCAAGTTTTCAAATGTTCAGAGGATCCGTCATAATCTTCGTTGGACTTTTAAGCGTTGGCTTTCTAGAACGGATTTTAAAAAGGCGAGAATGGGTTGGAATTTTCTTTGTCATTATTGGCCTAGCTGTTGTCGGAGTGGCAGATTTTGTAGCCAAAGACACGAACGCTGAAAATCATGGTCGAAATGATATCATCACAGGGGACTTGTTGATCGTGATTGCCCAAATTATTACGGCCATTCAGATGGTGGTTGAGGAGAAATATGTAGCTGGGTTAGATATCCCTCCATTGCAAGCTATCGGCTGGGAGGGATTTTTCGGGTTTACGGTTTTGGGATTGTTGCAGATACCGTTTTATTACATCAAAGCGGGGCCCCCGTTTACTAATAACCCCAACGGAACGTTGGAAGATGCAATTGATGCGCTCATACAAATTGGGAATAGCTGGCAACTGGTTTTCGCTATTTTAGGTAAGTTTGTTAACTATTTATGAAAAAGCTATGAAACGGTTTTTTAATAAAAACGTTTTTTGATTTTATTTGTTGTGGTGTCATTATGTTTTGATTTTTTGAGCTACAAAGTGTTGTGTATTTTTCGTATGAAGTAATTTATTTTATGCATTTGTGTGTTGACAAAGTTAAAACGTTAAATAATTATTGCCTAATGTTTATCCAGTTCTTATTTAAATATTATTTTTATCAGATTGTAGATAAGATTTGAGTGCTCCCTGTTATCAGGTTTTAATTTCTGATTCATATTTTTATTTTATAGGCCCGATGTACACACTAAGTTAAAACTAAGGTTAGAATAAATGCAACCAGTTATATCAGTAGAATGTGATGTAATATAATTTTGATTGACTTCAACTAATAAGGAAGTTAGGATATAATGCTGTTTTTTTTTTAATAACATGTATAGGATAAACCAGTTTTGTCATTGTAATGGAGACATTTAAATGTTGTACACTTGTGGTTTATGAATCGGCCTTGAGGTTTTCCCATAGGCTTTCAAATTTTCGCAAAAAAAAAACAGTATACAATAACCTTTTACAAGCAACGCCGAACATGGAAATTCCGTGGTTCACTCCACAGTCGCGCGTGTGCAGCGTTGCCACGCCGTTTTGCTTGCTATCGGTAGATTCCTTCGATGATTTTCGGTAAATTTCGGCGTTTTTTCGGTAGATTGGTTTTTTGTGATAGAAAAAGTATTACACATAAATAATACGATTTTTTGTCATATATGAAGAAGATAGAAATATTTTGTTATTAAAAAGAAACAAATAAAAAATAAAAACCGAAATATTAACATAGATCATTTAAAAAATATATATAGGTAAACATGCTAAAGGTAGTAGGAACATTTTGTTATTAATAAAAACACAATCAAACTATAATATTCCCCTTATTTATAGCCTCAGCTGCTGAACTGTTTCGGGGATATACCGAATTTTGTCCAACTAATTAAAAAAAAAATCCCTTTTAATTATTACGCGCTTAAAAAGAGTAGATATTTGGCGCTATCTGTAAAGATGTATAGTGATTACGCTGGTCCGTAATGGAGGGAACTAAGCAAATCCGCAGAACTAAATTTATATTGAAAAAAATATTAGGAAATGAAATTATATAAAAAAAAAATATTGAAAATTTATAAATACATTAAAAATAAAATTTTCTTAAATTATCGTAGACTTTTCGGTAGATTTGGGGTTTCAATCGGTAGATCGGTAGCCAGAGCCCAAAATCGGTAGATCTACCTAAAATTAGGTAGAAGTGGCAACACTGCGCGTGTGATCGCATTATGGCTGTGAGTAGTATTATACATTTTGACTTTTTTTCTTAAAATGTGTAGTCATCTTTTCACAACAAGAAACTTAAAACGTGTTTAAAATGGTAAATTTGTATAGGGAAATATCGATTTTGTAATTACGCTCCGCCCCTCTGTCTGAGAACGAATGAAAAATTCATCACGACTGAGACGGGGCGGGTGGGTGGGGCTTATATTTTGCCCTTTTTTTTTTTTCTTAATCTACATAGCCTTCTTTTCATAACAAGAAACTCAAAACATGGTTAAAATGGTACATTTTTGCAAGAAAATATGGATTTTGCAATTATGGGGCCGAGCCTAATTCCAAAATCGACATTTCCGTATACAAATTTTCCATTTTAAACCTGTTTTAAGTTTCTTGTGAAAAGAAGTTCACACGTGTTGAAACAAAAAGGCAAAATGTAAGCCCCGCCTACCCGCCCTATCTCAATTCTGATATTTTTTTTATTCGTCGTGTGCCGCGGGGGAGAAGCTTATCCGCAAATACTTATTTCTTTACAAGAAATTAAAAACATGTTTTTGAGTATCGTGTTGTTCAAAGAATACTACGTGTATTAAAAAAAATAATAAAGTCAAAGATTACTTTATGAAGATTATAATAAAAAAGCAAAATGTCGCAAAATCAAATTTTATAATTTTTCGGAAAAGTGGAATTTATTGTACAATATCAAAGGCGAGGTAAGTTCTGTCGAAATAACTTGCGATCAATTTTTTTGTATCTGTTGTGGGTTTACTTTTTACAATTTTGTAATTTTACACGTATTTTTTAACAACTTCGTATTGTTTCTCGTTCAACCCTTTCTTTGTTAGTCTATGATGATGTTAGTGCTTTGCGCTATTTCCACATTAGATATTTCGCCTGAAACAGTAATTTTTTTAATGCACAATTGCACAATAATTGAAAGATAAATCAATCAAATAATATAATATAATTGATACCAAGCGTATTTGCATTATTTCATTATCTGAAATAGTAATATTGTTTATTTGATCAGTTCAATTCCCTGTAATACTTATAATAGTGTCGGCGACAATTTGAAACCTAATCTCAATATTATGGATATCATAACTTTTAACAACGGTAGTGTATAAGTTTCTAAAATATCAGTGTTGGAATTTTACTAATTATTACTGTTATTTGACAAATTGTGGAAATATCTAGTAAATACTTGTGATAGTATAACCCACATAACCTATTTATAGCAACTGAAACAAAAAGATTGTTGTCTCTGCTAAGAACAGACTTGTAGTCGTGTCGTCCGTCTAGTGATTAGGAAGCCGATTTAGTGTGTTGCGTTTAAAAAGATAAAAATGTTGATTACATACCCAATCAAAATTTTTATACAAGTCATCAACATCTTCATGTTCTCATAATTTTTAATCGAGTCGTCGTTGGAAAGGATTTAGAATGTCGGCGATTAAACCACACTGGTAAATGTAAAAAGATGACAAATGTAGTAAAACCCTATAATATACGAATCTCCTGAAAATTTAGAAGCAAATGACGTTTCTTTGTCATTAAGTTTTGTTTACGATTTTACAAGGAAAATTGTTACAAGTTTAATTAATTTTATTAAATAAATAAAATTATTATTGTCTAATTAACAATTACTTTTTCTATTTATCTGCTAGAAATTTTTTAAATTTAAATACCTATTTAATCTGCAATGTATAGCAAATTTTCTTTGACATTGTACGGCAGAAAAATTACCAGTCTCATGCAATGCTTATCTAATACATCAGTTAAGGTCCTCTCATCTTATTTCCGTCCGAGTAAGTTGGTATACTTTTAAAAGTAAAATAGATCTGGGTACTTTTGTAGTACCACCTAATAATTTACGGGATCATATTTTATATACAGTCAATGCATTTTTTTTTTAATTTGATAAGATGGGTGCAAACATTTATTTAGTGATTACAACATACTCTTTATTATTTATCTCCACCAAAAAATGACATCATCTCAAAAAATTATTAAAGAAATATTATTTGAAATGTGATTTTCCTTGTGGTTTAGTAATAGGTGTTAGATCTCACAATTGCTTGCAAAATGATGAATGAATCGATTTCTGACCAGACAATGATGTTATGATTTGAATTTAAAATTACATTTCATGTAACAAAGTTAAGATATGTATTTATGTCCACAAAACGAATGAATGATGCATCTTAAAACTATCATAAAAACTGCTTATTCGAATTCATCGATGTTTTAAAGAGATAACGACATAGTTTTGATAAACAAAGAAAAAATACAGGGTTTCTATAAATGATTATAGGGCCGAAGTAGGTCATGAACAGGTGCCGCCTCTCACTTTTGAACCTTATTAAATGCCCAAGGACGCACGACAAATACCACACGCATCTGTATAGGTTGCCCAAATGTTTCATATCTTTTTAAAAAATAAAACTAATTCATTACAATAAAAAAAACAAATTTATTGTGGTTAAATATCAGAGTAAATGTTAAAAATGGTCACCATTTTGTTCAAGGCACATCTTCACTCTCTTTTTAATTTCAAAAACGTTCTGTAATTCTTTCGTCACTGCCCATTGTTCAATTTCATGTTGCAACAGAAACTCCTGACTGCTGAGGAAATTTTGTTAAAGATGTTTGCGAATTCTGCTCAAGTCGTCTCAAATCATCAACAACTTCCTCAGATACTGAAGGTCTCCCACGAGATTTCCCTTTGTGGACACTGCCAGTTCGAACAAATCTGTGAATTACATCTCTAATGTGAACCTGTAACGATGTTTCTTGAATTATTAAATCACGGCATTTAGCCAGATATTCTTGCTTACAAGCGATTACAGAATACACAACTCTTTATTTACGGAGTCCCATTGCGATAACAAGACAGCAATGAAAGTGTCTTGTTTAATAGAATTTTCACGATCTTCTCTTCCTAGCATAAAAACAAAATTTTCGTACGCAAGCACCAAGAGTTTGAAAACGACGACTTTAAATGACAGGATACAAATGACATTAATGACAAGTGAGAACTCTCATAATGAGGCATAATTTTAGCGAAACGGAATTTTTGCCCTTTGAATCATTTATAAAAACCCCGTATTAATACATACATTCGTCTCGGTTCATTCTTTGTTTTAGGTTTTAATATTACTTGACGAAAACTTGTCTACTTAATAGAGTGTGTTAGTTGAAATTACAAAGTCATATCATCAGACAGGATAATCTGAAATTTTATCCTGCTAAAATCAGAGGATGCATTTTTCCCTCCATTTCCTTTTTAATATGTCAGTCAATTGAAAAGAATGAAGTATGAAACCCAGTAACACAAAGAAATCTCTAAACTGCAACATATACTAGGAGAAAGCACAAAAAGACGATCAAAGACAGCCATGGATTTGTGAAGATTTGTTTGATAGAATTTTTATCCAGTGATTGGAAATAATTCATTTACAAGTAATGCATTACTTCAATTCAATTCCCTTTCAAGTAATGAGTAATTGTATTGCATTACTTTTCAAAAAATGTAATCAGTAATTGCAACGAATTACTTTTTTTGAGTAATTCAGTCACTTCTACAAATACTTTTTACTCAAATTTTGCTCAATTTTGTTTTGTTTTTCTCTACTAATCGTTTACCTGACCTGCTTCGATTATTATACCTGATTCGTCCCCACAAAGAAAAGATTAACCCAGTAGAGAGGTAAAATCTAAAACGAGTTTAGCACAATTTGTTAAGAAAACAGGTTACCATAATATACATAAGCTCTTCATCATTTTAAGGGTCAGCTAAATGATCTTCCCGCATAAAGAAGTACATATAAACTTTTGCCCAAGATTTGCCAAATGTATACGAGTACATTTTCCATTTAAAACATGTTTTAAGTTTCTCGTTGTGAAAATAAGTCTACACATATTAAAACAAAAAGGGAAAATATAAAACCGCCCACCCACCCTTTCTCATTTGTGATGATTTTTTTTATCGTCGAGAACCAAAGAAGCGGGATTTATTAATTATTATTTCTCTATAAGAAATTACCACGTAAGACATGTTTTTTATCGTGTTATTCAAAAAATACTATGTATATTAAGAGAAAAATTTAAGCCAAAAAGTAAGCCCCACCCGTATAGTTTTTGCAAACTATCACCGGACAGTGGAGATCATAAAAATTAAGCAACAAAGACGACACTAATCGGAGTATAACGTACCGAAAATTATGACCCCACCTCTTTTAGCCGGTCACCGAGCGGTTTACCTAGAAAATTCTAGTAACGATACTCAGGACAAGATTCGTTATTACGTTTTCTACATTTCTAGTTGGTACTTGATTGTAAAATAAATGTTTTATTCTTTTATACTTGTACATTATAATATTAGCATAATCATTATTAACGGTAGAATTATAAAACCAGTGTAAATGTTTTTATCATTAGTTCAATAACAGGTGGTGAATACGACGTGGGTTGGGATTTTGTTTCTATAACGATAAAATATCGGTACCGATAAAATGTGGTCGCCTTTTTCTTTCGCATCTGAAATTTATATTTTCGTCCTTGTCATTTATCGCTTCGTATCGTATGGGTAGAAAGAAAACCCCACCCCTGGTGACGCCCCGAATGCAAGGTAGTAGCAAGGAAGATTTTATTTGTGGTAGGGTCTTAGTACGTACCGCCTAATTGCGGTTTTCATGGTTGCTTAATTTTTATGATCTTCCCTGTCCGGTGGGAGTTTGCAAAAACTATACCTGCCCCGATCTAAATAGTAATGAAGATTTCATTCGTTGGCAGATCTAGGGGCGGAGCCTAATTGCAAAATCCATATTTCCTTACAAAAATTTACCATTTGAAACGTGTTTTAAGCTTCTAAGAATTAAAAAAAAACATCACAATTGAGATGGGGAGGGTGGGCGGGGTTAATATGTTGCCTGTTTTATTAATATACATAGTATTCTTTGAACAACACAACACTCAAAAACATATTTTTTATTTCTTGTAAAGAAATGAGTATTTTGCAGTTAAGCTCCGCCCCTTTGTTCTTGGCGAATAGACTTCTTTTCACAATGAGAAACGTAAAACATGTTTAAAATGGAAAATTTGTATAAGGAACTATCTATTTTGCAATTAGGCTCCGCCCCATAACTGCAAAATCCATATTTCCTTGCAAAAATGTACCATTTTAACTATGTTTTAAATTTCTTGTTATGAAAAGATGGCTATGTATATTAAGAAAAAAAGGAAAATATAAGCCCCGCCCACCCGCCCTATCTCAATTGAGATGATTTTTTTATTCGTCGTGAGCCGAAAGGCGGAACTTAATTGCAAAATCCTTATTTTTCTACGAGAAATTAAAAACATGATTTTGAGTACCGTGTTCAAAGAATTTGAACAACTTTGCTTATGTATAATGAATTACTGTTGTTACTGAATAATGAGTAATTGCAATGCAGTACTTTTTAAAAGTAATTGTTCCAATCACTGTTTTTATCTTATCAGATTACCATCAATTTGAAATTGATGTGAAAATGCAATGATCTAAGACAAACTTTCAATAACGTATAGCTATCTTTGATAGTGTTTTTTATTACTTTCTCGGTGAAAGCGTTATATCGCGTTTATATTTTGCGGAAATGACACCAACTTTTTCTTTTCAAAACTTAAATGATAATGATGATAATTTCATCTTTTCATGGATATAATATTTAATACGTAAGTATCAAAGTGCTTAAAAAACATAAATTCTGTCAGTTTTACCCCAATATCTCACTTATTCGAAAAGATAGTACAGGATTGAAATTGGGAAAGATAAAGCCTAATCATTCCCGCCAACAATTCGATGAAGTTGTTTAAATTTTATAGAATAATATACTCCCGTACTTGTGGTTTATGAATCCGCCTTGATTTTTATCACATTTACTTAACTACAATTTTTGTGCAATATTTGCCACGTGTAATCGCTAATGCACGTATCGAATACATCGTAGTCGAATGGTGAAGATGACCTTCGTCGAATATTTTTCTCACACTGTATTTGATATTACATATATTTTGTTACTTGTAGGGGTTATAAAATAAACAGAAATTCGCAAAATGCAATTCTATAATTTTTTGAAGAAACTGGATTTATTTCATTGTACTTCAGGGGAATTGTAAGAGTTGATAAATAAGAAACAAATTGGTGGTGTTAAACAGGGATACCATCATTCAAACATTACAAAAAATCCATTTAAGACACCATCATACTTAGTGGAGTGACTCTTGACTAACATCTGCGTTAAACACGCTATTCGAATTTTGAATATAGTTCCCGACTTTCGAAAAAATGTGCGAGTTTACTATGAACACACAATTTTTTATACCAATAAAATTTTACAATATAAGAACTAAACCCTAAATTATGTAACGGAAGCATCTTTAAAATATTCGTACGTGATAAACAAATTTTTATGCTAACATGTGGATTTGTAATATAGACTTTCAACCGTATGACATAATTTCATTTAATCTGAGCACCCAGCCAAGTGAATCTCTGACGAACAACTATTTTCTTGAGTACAACCCTGACATTAACGTAAATTTCAAAGTGGCACACCTCAGCTCGCAGATTAATGAGGCTCTATACTAGGAAGGTTGTTCGAGCATTGTTGGCCTAAATGACACTAATAAGCAATAAATGTTTGTTAGTATACAGAAATAGCACGCGAAGGATACAAGCTATTGCTTTAAGTTGAATGGAAAATAAAACAGAAACTGTAATTTTGAGGATAATGTTCTTTTATACCACAAAACAACGTAAAATTGAATGTAAACACATTTAGGACTTCATGTCGTGTATCTTCTGGGTAATAAATAAATTTACAGTTTGTATAAATTAGGTGTTGATGTGTAGTAATAAAACTAGTGGCAACAAACAAACAAAATTATCTGTGTACATTTTTATTTACAGGTACAATCATATCCATAGCATTCTTTAATTTTGCCGGCATCAGTGTAACCAAAGAAATATCAGCAACGACTAGAATGGTCCTGGACAGTGTTCGTACGATTATTATCTGGATTGTGAGTTTAATGTTTATGGGACAAAAATTCCACTGGCTTCAGGTACATACAACGCTTGCAATAATATTTTGGTAAAACCCGTAAATTTTCAGCTATTGGGATTCGTGGCGTTGCTGTATGGAATGTGTCTGTACAATGGAATTACATGCACTTTAGTTTTTGTAAAAGTTCGCGCTCTTTTTGTCCGTCTGCGGTATCGAAATGTGGAAGAAGATAGCATAATTGAAAATCGAACGGCTGATTTGCCAGACGACTCAACTCCAGCGTGACTTATTTGTCTGTAGGAATAATAAGACTAATCATTGTGGACACACACAATATATAAAATAATGGGAAATGTTTATAGAAAAACATTAAGCATATTTAAAATATTATTATTGTTCAGAGTAGAATATTTTTATTAAATCTGTATTACACTGATATATTTTTTATGATTACCACTCCAAGATACCTGGTATGTACTTGTCAATCAATTTTTCATAATATGGCCATAATTTTTCAATATCTGGGATTTCAGTGCTTTTAGTGTATAGATCGTATTGACTGAAAACAAAAAACTTATTGAAGTTCTCTGATAATACGGCGGCACACTTACTTAAAAGTCAAAACCCATTTCTTCACCTCCTCTTCGTCCTCCTTGGTAGTTAAATGCTGATAATTACCAGCAGAATGCCACGGGTAAAAACTGTGGAACCTGATCATGTACAAAGCTTCTTTGGGTAAAGTGGATTTGTTGTGTAACAACACTCTATACAAGTATTCGTCGTGACCCCAAGATAATAACAACTTCTCCAAACCGCAGTTGGGTTTATACATTCCATATTTGGTACTTTAACAAAAAAAAAAAAAAAAATCAAAATTGCTGAATTTAACTTAACCCTAAAACTATTTACTTGTATTTGGGATTGTTTCCATCAACGTTGTCAACAAACGACGTGTCCCTGTAAACAATATCGTTGTCCCATTCGCACCCAACAACGAAGGTATCGCCCACGACAGCCCACTGAGGTTCACCATAAAAAGCCATGACTTTTCCCAAGTCGTGGATTAATCCAGTTAGATGGAACCAGTCCTGGGTTGGATAATCTCTTCTGATTCTTTCAGCCGTTTGAAATGCGTGGACGATGTTGGGGAGGTCAACATCTGGGTCACTTTCGTCAACCAAATCATTTAGACGTATTAAGGCGTCCTTAATTGTGGACTTAAAATGATTGAATTTTGTCCAGGAATCTATTTTTTCTGAAATTATACACAAAAAATAATAAAAAAGACGGGCTCAACCGGGATTTGAACCCGGGACCTCTCGCACCCAAAGCGAGAATCATACCCCTAGACCATTGAGCCGCACTGTGTTTGTTGTAACTAATTTTGCAAGATATCGTAATTAATTTAAACATTGACATTATTGTTACAATTTTAAAATTTGTTTCCAAAAGTAAAATAATAAGTAGTTAAAATATACACGCACATTTTTCTCGCCGATATTGTTTATTATATTAATAATTTGAAAGAAGAGATATAGATTCTTTAAAAACTTAGGAGGAAGTGAAAAATAAACAAGGTAAATAACCATCCCCTGACAAAGATATTTTTTCAACTGAATTTGGGTCATCGTTTTGTTTATAATTTCCAGATAGATGTAATATAATTAAGTATACCAATCTGACAAAAGCATTTGATAGGGTAAATCATTGTATGCTGTTGGTTGAACAAACTTGAAATGTTTAGTTCTTGTAATGATTTGATATTATTGAAATCAATGATCATAAGGAAAAAGCAATACGTTGAGTATGGTGGATGTAATAAATCATTTGAAATTGATGTTAATAATGGAGTTGCTTAAGGCTCTAATTTAGGTCCTCTACTTCTTACCATCTTTGTTAATGATGTAATAAATCTTGATCCCAAAAGTTGTATTTATGCAGATAATCTTAAACTAGTTTATGTAATAAAGTCTACTCAGGATTGTCTGAAGTTGCAGTCGAGTTTGATTATTTGGTTTCATAATAATAAACTTGAACCCAATATCCATAAGTTCAAACTTATGAGATTCACAAGCAAAGTGGAGAAACTGCATTTTTTTAAATATAAATGGCTTGTCGTTATAAGTACCTATGTAATGAATTTAAGGATTTAGGTCTAACTTTTGAATACACGCTTTCTTTTGTACCTCACATCCAAAATATTGTGAACAATTCTTTGAAAACTTTAGGGTTTATCAGAGAAATGGAGCAGACTTTAAAGACAAAGTTTGAAATTAGAACAAACACGGACAAGTTGATCCAAAACTAATCCCAAAAGGTCAGTGGCATTACTAGGAAAATTTTAAATAGGGGCTACTATTAAATTAGTGGCATTAAGCTTATTTACATAATATAATAAACAAAATATTGAAAATAGTTATTTTTTATATCGAAATTTGTCAGTTAGATAGTTTTAATATAAACGCAAGAAATTTTGGACAACGAAACTGTTACTCTTTATTTTTATTTAAATTTTTGATTTGCATATTCAACCAAATCCCTCATTGCATGGCTTTTGCTGGACCATTTTATTCTTGTTTTTTTTTATTTCTTCTTTAGCTTTTCTGGTATAGACTTTCAGACGGTAAACTATCATTCTTGCAGTAAATTTTGTTTTGCTGTTGCAGCATGTTGTAAATTGTATTGAGTGATAAGTTATTATTCTTTAAATAATCTCTCAAATTACATAATATTTGCTCTACTAAAATTGCTATTTGGAAGGCGTTCTCTGAAGCGTAATGTAAAGCACCAGTTTTGTATTCTTTTAATGCCACAAATTTTGCATTAATTTTCATTACAATTCTTAGAGACCAAAGCAACAATACATTTTTTGCAAAAATTTTCCTTTTTTATCAAGCTTTTAAAAACGTAGTCTGTGCACCTGTACAAAGCATTTTTTTCTCTCAAAGAAAGTTCTTTTTTCTTCAAATTCCAATTTCTAGGTAAAGCTAAATTTTCTTTTCCTTTAGGACATCGTTTTCTTTTCTGTTATTATTTTTAATATAACTCAAAAAACCAACTAAAGGTGTCGTTTTGTCGATTTCGTCACTTGAGTTTTTTGAAACGTCCAAATATTGAGAAACTGATAAAAGTTTTAAGTCATGTTTAAATTGAATGGCCGTAGGGATGTCTTGACCGAATTTGGGAAAATACATTTTCTAAACAATCTTGACAAAATCTCGATGTTAATAAATATGAGTATTTTTTTTTTCGTTCAAAAACAAGTTTTGCAGGTCTAAAATTGATGTTGTAGGCAGTATAACATCTGTTTGAATAGGCTTCCAAACTGCTTTTCCAAATTTGTCAGGAACGACTTTTAAGTTTAAAAACAACTTAATGAACTCTTGAAGGAATTCTATAGTTTCCCTATAGACAGCAATATTAAACTTGCTCAAGGCCAAAATAGTTGATCTAGAACTAATCAACTGGAACCACCTATGTACAACATCAATAAAAACAGCTGTCGTTAGAGAAGATTTGTCTTTTCTCTCCTCTTCCACATCAAGTTTTATTCCACAACTAACATTTCGATTCAAAACGTTTAGAGAATTTGACACCTTCATTTTGTTAAAATGGTTAGATTGTAGATCCACATTTAATTTGTTTGCTCCGAACATTTTTTTAATTTTTTCCCTTTTAGATCAATTTGATCCTTTGTTAATCTATTTGGCAAATTTTTCCATAAATTTGCATTACACACTTTTTGCAAGTATAATTTTTGGCTTGCGATTGAACGTTGATCGGAATGGCTCATTGTCTCTTAATTCAATTTGGTCTACCATCGTCGTTCTGGGCGGAAGCTATGTCGACGGCGTGTCACGAAATCGATGTCCAGCAAAGAAGATCGGTGGAAAGACTTCGTACCAGGTTTGGAATGGCAGAATACCAACTGTGGTCTACTTTCAGAAGTTTGGATGTAGGGCATTTGTTTTGAATAAGACAACAACTAAGGGGTAGCTAGACAACAGATCAAGAGAAGGAATTTTTGTGGGGTATGCTGATCTATCAAAGGCGTATCGAATATGGCTGCCGGATTCCAGAAAAATCGAAATAAGAAGAAATGTGAAATTCATAGACAACGACCAGAAGTTTTCTATCGAGAAGGATATCTAGCGCGATTGGTTTGATGTAGACATTGCTAAGAAATCCGTTGAGGAGGTTGAGCCGCAACCTGAACCGAATCTTGAAGAGGTATTCAGGGGTCTTTCACCAGAATTAGGTGAAAACGATGTTCAAAAAGAAGAAACTACACCGGTTCGACGACCGAGACGTCCGAGAATCATCAGAACAGAGTGGATTGAAGTGAAATCCTTAATTAACAATAATTGGTATTTGGTAGACAGGCCAGGCGACAGACAAGCGTAAGGCCCGCGTGGTGGCTCAAGAGTTTGGTACGAAACCTGAAATAGACTTTCACGAAACGTTTGCTCCTATGGCAAGATTGGCTTCTATACGTGTTATGGTTGCAGTAGCTTTCTCTAAAGACGTGAAGATTCCGCAACTTGTGTGATTCGGAAAGAGCTACGAAACCATCAAATTTTAGCTAGAAACAGTATTTTTGTCGATTTTTATTAAATCTGAACTATATTTCAACATTTTTTGATGATTCTGAGCGACGAAACACACTTAGAGCATGCAGAATCGTCTCAGATTAGGCAAAGGAGACGTTTGGGTCAATTTTATGCATTCTGACGTTCGTAGATACAAGAAAATTGTTAAAATTTTTCAGAAACGCCACTTTTGAAGCGTTTTCTTGTAGTTTTAAGCCAATCAGAAACCCTACGGGCTCGGAAAGATCAACGAAACCATCAAATTTTAACTAGAAACAGTACTTTTGTCGATTATTATTAAATCTGAACTATATTTCAACATTTTTTGATGATTCTGAGCGACGAAACACACTTAGAGCATGCAGAATCGTCTCAGATTAGGAAAAGGAGACGTTTGAGTTAGTTTTATGCATTCTGGCGTTCGTAGATACAAGAAAATTGTTAAAATTCTTCAGTAACGTCACTTTTGAAGTGTTTTCTTGTAGTTTTAAGCCAATCAGAAACCCTATGGGCTCGGAAAGATCAACGAAACCATCAAATTTTAACTAGAAACAGTATTTTTGTCGATTTTTATTAAATCTGAACTATATTTCAACATGTTTTGATGATTCTGAGCGACGAAACACACTTAAAGCATGCAGAATCGTCTCAGATTAGGAAAAGGAGACGTTTGGGTCAATTTTATGCATTCTGGCGTTCGTAGATACAAGAAAATTGTTAAAATTCTTCAGAAACGTCACTTTTGAAGCGTTTTCTTGTAGTTTTAAGCCAATCAGAAACCCTACGGGCTCGGAAAGAGCAACGAAATCATCAAATTTTAGCTAGAAACAGTATTTTTGTCGATTTTTATTAAACCTGAACTAAATTTCGACATTTTTTGATGATTCTGAGCGACGAAACACACTACAGCTTACCTGAATGGAATTATCAAAGGGAAGATCGTTATGGAGGGTCCGAAACATTTAGAAGAAATACTTGACCACATCGTGAGAACCGAAGAGAAGAAAATGATAATCAGAGAAGAAGCAAGAAAGATGATGGAGCAAATGCGTAAGGGCGACGTGGTTTGTGTACTGAACATGGGTCTTTACGGTCTACCACAAGCTGGCAGAGCTTGGAACGATCGATTGGATGACGAACCCCGAAGTCTTGGAGCGGTTCCATCCGAGACAGATCCTTGTGTATACGTCGTCCAGGCATCGAACTTCACAAATTTTATAGTCATAGATTTGGGAGATTATGAGTACTGTCTAGGTACTGAATGTACAGAACGGACAATTATTTAGCTATTAGCCAGAGGGGATGCAGAGACGATTTACTTGAGAAATTTGTAATGAGTCATTGCAATCCGGGTCTCTACACCGTTAGAGTTGAGGATTAATTTGATGAAAGACGGAGTAGAAGACGTTTTCCCGAAGAATATCCCTTATCAAGAACTCATCGGCGGACTGATGTATTTATCTATGGCAACTAGACCAGATATAACACATGCGGTAAGTTACCTCAGTCAATTTAGCAGTTGTTTTAGAGAGTCTCATTGGAAGGCCGCGAAAAGGGTCTTATGTTATCTTAAAGGGACTAGAGATCTGAATCTAGTGTACTCAAGATGCTGCCTGGGGCAGTTGTCTTGTTGATACGAAATCTTATACGGGATATGTTTTTCTAA